TGTTTGTGGCGCATTCAAGCTGGGGATCCCATCCACCGGAAGGGGAATGGTGAACTGTCCGATGCACACCACGGGGACTTGGAGTTGTTCCCCGGTGTTGTTCGTCTCTGTGCCACGTCCGGCATTACTGGAAGAAGCCATGAGTGTTAGGGTTTTTTGGAGAAAAAAAGAGGTTATGAGAGTTTTAGAGGGAGGCTTTTAGAAGCTTTCCCACAAACGGCGCCAATTGATGGTGCACAATCCGGCCGGTCCTAGCTGTCAACATCCTTACCTCTGAACGGAGCTACAGGGAACCTGAAACGGAGGAGATGAGGAAGCTCCGGGGGGAACCCGGTGTGATTGCTCCGAAGCTCAAGTTAGAATTCTCTCAAAGGCAAGATAAAACTAGATGGCGCAAAGTTCACATACCTTATTCTTGGGGGGTAGGGAGCCTTTTATAACCACCTCGTGCACTCACTTCTAAGCTTCTGTCAGGTCGGGTATGATTATCTCTAAGCTCCTGCTAGTTCGGGTGTCATCCCCTCTGTTGGACAGAACCGCCACTGCTCTCTTTGTCGAAGCCGTCTCTGCGACTGGCGATGACGGTGGCAGGTGGCGGTGGCAGGTGGCCGTTGAAGTGCGGCTGTCAAGCGTCAGATCCCAAGTCAGTCAGGTGCGCCGCCCTTGGATACGGACCTTGTCGGTGTCAGGTACGTTTGTTCAGTTCGACATCCTAGAGGCGAAGTGCTGGAGTGGTGAGTGAGGTGAAATCTTGAGTTCGGATAGGGGAGTGTCCCGAACTGCCATGGGGCGGGCTAGTTCGGGTCATTGCCTTGTGTGAGGCTCGGGGCCTAAGGGAGAGTTCGGTCTCCTTGTAGGGAGTTCGGGCTCTTAGTAGGGAGTTCGGACTACTGGTAGGGAGTTCGGACTACTGGTTCCTCCCTTCGGTGCTCGCGCCTTGGGTGCGCTGTTGTGCCGAGCTATTGCCTTTGCCACGTGTTGAGTGATTACGAGGTCGGGCCAAATCTTCCTTCATCAATACCCAAATGAGGAGTTGTTTACTGTTCCCCTTAAAACATTTGGTTGTACCTGTTTTGTTCAGCTTCTCGGACCCATCACTCCAAATTCGAACCAAAGGCCTCAAAATGCATCTTTCTTGGTTATGCACAAACTCAAAAGGGTTATTGCTGCTATGATCCTATCTCAGGGAAGAAGTTTGTCTCCATGGATGTCACTTTCTTTGAGGAGACACCCTATTATTCTTGGGTTTCTCCTCAGGGGGAGAGCAGTGAGAGTGGGGATTTGGGTCCTTTTCTTCAGGGGGAGCGCAGTGAGGGTAGGGTTAATACTTTTGGGGCTGTTCCCTTACCTATTCCATTGGGTGATGAGGGCTGCAATACTAAGGGTGGTCAGAGAGATCAGGAGTTGAGAGTCTATCACAGGCGATGCAGGCAGGTTGATCCCGGTCATCAGCAGTCCAAGCCAGCTCCAACCTCTTCTACGGCTCCAAGTCCAGGTATTACAGTC